CTTTCAACGCAACATTTCTTCAGTAATGATTTGAAGGCTAACTCACCCTCGTGCCGTCACTACACATGCTCATGTCCCCCTCGTTCCTTAGTGCGATCCACATTATCCTTACAGTGCTCCCTACATCACAGGGCGGTGGGGTAGCCTAGTGGTTAAAGCGTTGGCTCGTCACGCCGAAGACCCGGGTTCGATTCCCCACATGGGCACAATGTGTTAAGCCCATTTCTGGTGTCCCCCGCCGTGATATTGCTGGAATATTGCTAAAAGCGGCGTAAAACTAAACTCAGTCAGTCAGTCCCTACATCACATTTCTGTCACAAAATCACCGATTTATATAAAAGCGCGTCATTCATGCACGCACCGTGAAATCTACGTCTGACGCCTGACGTCAACAACCCTTTTCAGTTTGAGGCATATCAGCTCATTCCACGCAACACGTTATCATGTAGATTACGGAATGGGACGAGTGTGCCAAATGGCATTGGGTCCATTTGGCAATTGTCCGTAGATTAAGATCACGAGACACCAAGTCTACCCGTAACCTTCGTAATTGTCCGTGACCTATTCGACTCTTTCCGTTCATTTCCGTGACGTCACAGGAATGACTCGATAAATTTGCACGTGCTACAGTGTGGACGTAGCTCAGTCGGTTAGCTGTCGAGCTAACAATCCGAAGGTCGCGGGTTCACGTCCAACGGGTTCCCACAAACTGGTTGCTTGTCTTAATGACAAGTGACCTACAGCAGAGAATGTCCTCACGAGAAGTTGTGGTGCTGTATTCTAAAGGTGCTCCTAGATTTCTTTTCAAAACATTGTTATAGTAGAGTGTTTAGAGTGTTTTTATACTACAAAACCTGATTTCTATGTTCTGGTGGGCATCAGAGGTAGACTATGGAAAATTATTGTGTCTATGTATGACACTGTGCAATCATGTGTTAACCACAATGGTGAGTTATCTGGCTTCTTTCTATGCTCCCTGGGTATTAAACAAGGGGGAGTAATGTCACCGATTCTTTTCTCCCTATATCTTGAAGATATTGAAGTAACACTACAGGAAAATATCGACGCGGGATTGCTGCTTGACTATGTTAACCTTTTTATACTACTATTTGCCGACGATATGGTTATCATATCCCAATCACTTAATACGCTTTCCAATTATTGCACAGACTGGAGCCTTAATGTTAAGGTAGACAAAAGTAAAATTATGGTTTTTCGTTTCGAGGGAAGATTCGATCGGAAGAAATTTGGTTTTACAAGGAATCCCAGCTTGAAGTTTGACCAGTTAAATTATCTAGTTATAGTGCTTTCTTGCACAGGCTCCTTTACACAAGCTTATAGAACTCTAGCAGGCAAAGGTCTGAAAGCTATGAATGCTTTACTAAAAATGTCAGTTACGACTTTTCATTGAAAACCTTGTGTGAACTATTCGACACTTTTGTTACATCTACTATGATGTATGGCTGTGAAGTGTGGGGTATTGTGAAATGTTCTGAATTTGAAAGAATTCACTTAAAATTTTGCAGGCATATTTTGCAGATCAGTACCAAATCATCTACAGTTGCTGTATACGGCGAACTTGGGAGATACCTTTGTATATAAATAGGTATATCCGTGTGTTGTGTGAAAATGTATAATGCAGAATAGACGTGAAAATGTGTAAATAACTTTATTCATATTTTTATATGTGCCCAAATTAAAGAGCGTGCATGTTAATTCTGTTTTCTTTGTAATAAGTCAGAGCCTCTGAGTGAGGTGTGCCATGTTCATTCAGCCATAACAATGCGTTGCAAGTGCTGCAAAGACTACGCTCATTGAACCAAGAAGCATCGCGATTTTAGCCTTCCCCTGCCATGAACCGTTCATTACTGTTGATGGATGAACCAGGATAAACTTCAAACTACTCAACCATAAAGTTGTTTTGAAAAGACTGTGGGCAGAATAAATTGTAGGCACATTGGGAACATCCCTCTTCTCCCCCACCACCAATGATGTTGCACAGTATGACATCATTTGACATGCATTGATCCATGTTTCATCTGAGTAAATCACCTCATATCCCTGTTTCCACTTTACGCATATGGTTTCTCAGCAACGCTATATCCTTCTGTTCACATAACACATGCCTGCTGTCGCCTGAAATGTTCTTGTATTGGTACCCAAAGTGGTGCAAAAGTTTCCCGATTCAGTGCTTGGACACAATTAAAGAATGCTCAGTTACTATGAAATTCTTCAATTGCCGCAAAGATATTCACTTGTTTTCATGTTCTGATTTCCATTTCTTACAAGTTTTTGTTGAAAACTGTCCATCTGTTTCACATTAGTAAGCTGTGAGATGTCCGAACACGATTTGTAGAAATGCTGGACTGTTTCTTGTAATAAGTGCTTCCTTTTATAATAAGAAAGGCCTAGAAGCACTGCTGCTTGTTTCTGGTATTTTGTGCCAAAAAGTGTCTTCCCCCTCCTGGCTTGCAATAATCATAAAAGTGACAGAGGATGGGATTTCAAATCATCTGTGAATTTCATCATGTACCGTAGTGTAATGACGGATTGAGCTCATTCTGTATATTTTTGTCTCCCTCTTTCTCTCTTTTCCCCCCGTATTCAACAGCAGTCCATACGTCCCGATTCATGTTTTGATATCTTATCAACTGTTGTACCCAATGTCTTCAAATTTGGTGACAGCCTACATTGGGGGATTATGCGAACACCAGTCGATTTGGGTGGCCTTGACCTTATCCTCGAGGTCACCACAACACTTTGACCACTTTTCAAACTTATGTAAACACGATATCTCATAAAACATTGCACCCAGTATCTTCAAGTATGTCGACAGCCTACATTGGGTGATTATGCAGACACCAGTCATTTCAGGCATCTTGTATCTGGCCAAAAAATAAAAAGTAGTAAATATGTTAGAAATATTTCATTCTTCTTTAGTGGTGGGGGACATTGCCATATTAGTGGCAAGTACTTGTATTATCTGCATTTATAATTATCTGAATAGTACACCCAAGAACATTCCTAACATTGCTTTGAGAATATTTTAGACGCCCTTTGTATATTCCATTAAATAACTACTATAGAAAGATACACTCCTAATGTCAACATTTCTTTTGACGGACTCTTAGTGCAGAAAAGAAGATAGTGGGTTGGCAAAACATGGGCGATTTGCGAATGGTGGGCTGTTCTACATACACTGCACAGGGTTTTACACAGACTTTGAAAAATGGGAGTCATGATGACTCACAATATTTATTTTGGGGAGTCATTTTCAAGATTTGGGAGTCATGAAAATTTTAGTGTAATATTTCTTTGTGTAAATCAAAATCATAAAGTCCAGTATACCGTATCCAGCTGGTTCACACATAGTTCACTATCAATATACCTAACATAAATTGCAAGGTTTTTTTCTCTGTGGTGATGTCACACGTCTCATCAAACATAAGGCTAATGTATGGACTGCTCTTTATGGCTTCAATTTGCTGTAGATAAGTGGTAGATTCATCAAATCTTTACAAGTATCAGCAGTAATATGTTTTGAGCCATGACAAACAGTAAGCATTTGTTTAATGTGACCATCACTACGGTGAACCTTGTCTGCCTTTCCTGCATTTTTGACAGATGTGCTGAAATGCTGTTGAGTTTCGTGACTTTTAACTGCGTCAAGGTGATCTTTAGAGTGAGAGAGTTTGGTTTTATGCCGCTTTTAGCAATTTTCCAGCAAATTCATGGCGGGGGACATCAGAAATGTGCTTCACACTGATCTTTACTACTGAAAATTTTGACTAGCAAATGTAAAGGAGTTGGATTTTTTTTTTGCCCGAATGCACATATCACAGGTTATGATTTAGCAGTTGGTTTTAGTGCTCATCATTAGAAACGTCAGGAGATCTGTTTTTCTTGCTTTCATTACTGAAAAACAAGTCACGAGACCGCTGCTTCTTAGCAGGATGGACAATGCTTAAATGACCAAAGCATAGTCTAAATATAGCAAATGACGTACTGAACTGCTATTTGCTGTCTAAATATAGTGAATGACATACTCAAATGTTATTGGCTGGTACCTTTACCGCATTCTAGCGTGGCTCTATTTTTAGCCACTCTGTGTTCCCGTACTTTCTGTTAATATCACGAGTGTTTCCAATACAGTTTGCAATAAAACGAAAGCTATCATTGTTTGCTTATCAAATTTCGATTTTATTGAACTGAATTCTGAGGGTCACTCATAAGACTTGCGTCAATCTTGACTCATACAATAACATTTTGAGAGTCTTTTAGAAAATTGTTGCATCAAATACGCAGGAATCAGCGCCATGTAAAACCCTGACTGCATACCCCCTTGTTACAACTGTCATTAAAACACCACCAGTTATATGATTGTTAGTCAAACTACTTTTCCTCTTCTTCATGCCAGTGTTTGAAATTATGGTGATGATTTGGTGTGGACAAATGATTAACTTTCATGTTATTTAAGACAATTTGTTGCTTTTGAATGTATATTTATTTGCCATTTTCATAGTTACGATTTTGCAAACGGACTATAATAAGGTAATATTTTTAGAATAATATATGATGCTACTATTGTTGGTGTTTGGAATCATTTAGCGAAAGTTGGGCTGTTACAATGTGTGCATGTAGTGCAAACATCCACCTTGTTTTACAACATGCAGGAACACTTCACTGTCAGTAAGACTTCCAATTTTTACCCGTTATTGTTTGCTTACTAAGTAGTTATGTACTGCCCTAGCACCCATGCTGGTTGAAAGAATGAAGTCAGGTTTGGGTGGCCACAGTTGGATGTGTCTTATTATAGGATAATTTTGGATTTTTTGCTTATTGGATTGTGACAAAAGTGAGTCACTCCCTAACTGACCTTTCATGGTTGTGCCCTCCCTGGTGTGCACAAACATCAGGAGAGCATTGTCTCAGTTTCATTGTGTAACCTTAGTGAGCATGGTTAGCATTCCATTTGTTCATATGTACATTTTCTGTTTCAGTGAATTTGGCAAGGCACCGCAACTTATTGATTTTGTCGGCAATCATTTAATCCTGCGTCGAAGTGAAGGCTCTCTGATCAGCACCACAGTGTCCCCATACCCTGGAGTCCTCCACAGCTATGCCAACTCTAGTCGCTGGGGAGACTCCCTCCGTCTCTGTCGCTTTGTTAAGGTATCTATTTCTTTTCTCTGGTCAGACATTTTCCAACCATAGGGATGACCAAACTCTTTTCAGTTTCAAATATATCAACAAAGTGATCAGTTAAGTAATGTTTTTTTAAATGTTTGCTATTTGTGTGACAAATGATGTGGCTGTTCCCAGGAGGACACACTGTGGGCATGTCTGGCAGCAATGGCATCCTATGCCAAGGAACTCAACACAGCAGAGGTAGCATATGCTGCCATCAAAGAGGTCAGTAACACACACAACATTAATGAGCATTACAGGCTTTTTACAGAATTTCTGTCCTAAAACTCTGCCTTTTGCAAGCTCTTACTTTTAAGATGAATGGAAGCAAACAATTTTTGTAACCGACTATCATATGCAAAATGTTTTTATGTTTTCGATGAATTCCAAAGTTGGATTTTTTTACCTCTGAAAAGAGGAATTGTCAACTTAATTGGTTTGGAAGAATCATTGCATAATATCCATTTTTCAAGACTTACCTCAAAATTTCAAGGCTGTGCTAATTCTGGCGAACTCATACAGGATGAAACTGTTGTGTTTGTCAGACACATCAAGGCTCAAGTCATATCTGACTAGTTCAGGGACATACATAATAGCCGAGATATTAGCTGGATGTCAAGTGAGCTCATGTCTTGGTCTGTTTCTGCAGAATATGACATGAATCAGAAGCCATTCATTATAAATGTCTTCTCAGAAACCCCCTTTATTGACATGTTAAAGTCCATATTAAGTTTATTATAACAATGTTTGACCACGATACATGTATCACAAGAAGTGTATTTTTGGTCAACTTAAAGTAATGAGCTCATCATTTTAATGAAATTTCTGATGAACGTCTTTGACAAAACACCAAAATATATGCGGTGAGAAATTATGCCATGATGAAGAAATCTGATAAATGGCTCCATTAACTGGGGTCTTTGTGTTATATTTAATGAGTGAGTGAGCATTAGCAACATTGCAGCAATATCAAGGTTGTGGACAGTGGAAATAATATGTGCTAAAAAAAAGGAAAACTGTATATGCCAGGGCCCCATTCCTCAAAGCAATCGTAGTGCTACGACTGTAGTAAGTCTATGTTAAATTATGGGAGTTAAAATCATCTTAGGATTTTGAAGAACGGGGCCCAGAACAATAGGATATGTTTCAAGGTTTCTCTTTGTTAAATCACAAGAATATTAATATATACATATATTTACTTTTTAGGATAATTGACATTGAAAATTTATGACCATCAACGTAACTAAATGTTTACAATTATGTAAGGGGTTAAAACAACTGATAAAGTCAATTCTTGGTATCGATGCCCTACCATGTAAATCTCGCTAATTAGCTGTGATGCCTGTCACCAGGGATACTCTACAACAGGGATAGGTCACTCGCTTGCTTTCTTTACCATTTGTACTAATTAGCGCATGCCTCGTCATGCTCCAACGCACACAGCGACTTGGTTCGTTCCCAGCGCAACTTCGGCTGCATTTAAGAGTACTTCAGCCAGTGTATTGTATCAGTCGGAATTTTACAATGAATGAATGAATGAATGAATGAATGAATGAATGAAGAGCAAGAATTATATGTGAATGAATGAAAAAAAAAGAACAAAATAAAGAAATACATATGTGAATGAATGAAAGAATAAATGATACACCACGGCCATCCCTCCCCAAACATGTTAAAGAACGCAAAACTATCGGTAGAACACATGTGTTAACATCAGCTGTCCTTTTTTTTAAAAATCTACATTGAGACATTTTTTTACATTAGTAACTAATTCAGATATCTTATTGCATGTGTGGAATGGCATGGGCATTGACAGAATGTTAACTGACACTGTCACAGACCCCTCAAAAACAGAAAGTTTAGAACTATCACAAAGCGTTGTAAACACATTTCCAGTTTTGTCAAATACTAAGATCAACAAGAAAGAAAGAACTTTTAGAACTATAACACTCAAGCATCACAAGCATCAATGGCGTTTCAGAACAGATCGGCGATATGTCATATTTTTCACATACCTCAAATACACCCTAACAATTTTTTTTAAATTATAAAACTATCACTATTACTTGCAAACACCTTTCACCTGATGGTATATTCCCCTCATAAAAATTAAAGGTGTATGTGAAAGATGTTTTAGAACAATAACTAGAAACACTCAAACAACGCCCTGTAGTATTTCAATGGCAGATCGGCGATATGTCATATTTTTCACACACCTCAAATACACCCTAACAAATTTTTTTTAGTTATAAAACTATCACTATTACTTGCAAACACCTTTCAACTAAAGGTATATTTCCCTTCTAAAAATTAAACGAATATGTGTAAGAACTTTTTAGCGATAGAATTTAGTCTTTCTTCGCTGTGTACCGAGAATTGAAGCCAGTGAGCTACAACATGCCGACTTGAAACTTTACTACAAATCTACTGTACTAATACTGACACTAATAACAATTATTTGACTTAAAATGAAGTGACAGAATAGATAACTTATCTTCTACATGTAGGGTTTCAGTTGTCACAACACTCAGCGTATGTAATCAGCTGTTGAAAATAAACCGGGCTCAATCTTAAAAACTACGCTTCCGCCATATTGGCTACACTGGTCACGTGACGAGCCGAGGCATACGCTAAGGGGCTTTCCGAGGAGTGACCCCTGCCCCTTATATAGTCTCCCTGCTGTCACTCAGTATGTTGTGAAGTTGGCCTGTGAAGTAAGTAATAATCACTTTTTTGTAATACCTTTTTTACAGACTGACAAAGTGCAGTTCATTATGAATATCAAAGATATTCCTGTGAAAGAGGCCCGCAATGCTGAAATGGCTCTGTTGTGTGGAAGTCCACAAGATGCTGAAGCCATCCTGCTGCAGGCTGGACTCACATTCAGGGCCATCATGCTCAACATCCAGCTGTATAACTGGGACAGGTACACTCCTCTTCTTGGATCAATAATCAACATGGTTTGAAGAAATTCTTACATTTTCTGTAAAAACTGATTACTTCAGTGCCAGAAATCCTAAAATCATACTCTAAAAGCATAATGTTTTCAGCAGAAGTCATCTTAGCTGTCATAGGTCTATATACCAGTTGAGTTATTACAAGTATTCAATTCTTAAACCACTGCAAATACACTGCCAGGTGTACTACGTCCATTCACCATGTGTTCTGCGGTATTTCAGACCTAAATTTGCATTGAATTAATCTTCAGCCATGTCCATGCACCCAGAGCCTGCTTCTGTTACAAGTACACAAACTGCTTCTGTTACATGCACTCAGAGCCTGCTTCTGTTACATGCACTCAGAGCCTGCTTCTGTTACATGCGCTCAGAGCCTGCTTCTGTTACATGCACCCAGAACCTGCTTCTGTTACATGCGCCCAGAGCATGCTTTTGTTACATGCACTCAGAGCATGCTTTTGTTACATGCACTGAGCCTGCTTTTGTTACATGCACTCAGAGCCTGCTTCTGTTACATGCACCCAGAGCCTGCTTCTGTTACATGCGCCCAGAGCCTGTTTCTGTTGCATGCACCCAGAGCCTGCTTCTGTTACATGCACCTAGAGCATGCTTTTGTTACATGCACTCAGAGCATGCTTTTGTTACATGCACTCAGAGCCTGCTTTCGTTACATGCACTCAGAGCCTGCTTTTGTTACATGCACTCAGAGCCTGCTTCTGTAACATGCACCCAGGGCCTGTTTCTGTTACATGCATCTAGAGCCTGTTTTTGTTACATGCACTCAGAGCCTGCTTTTGTTACATGCACTCAGAGCCTGTTTCTGTTACATGCAGCCAGAGCCTGCTTCTGTTACATGCACCCAGACACTGCTTCTGTTACAAGTACACAACTGCTTCTGTTACATGCACCCAGAGCCTGCTTCTGTTAAATGCACCCAGACCCTGCTTCTGTAACAACGCCCAGAGCCTGCTTCTGTTGCATGCACCCAGAGCCTGCTTCTGTTACAAGTACACAAACTGCTTCTGTTACATACACCCAGAGCCTGCTTCTGTTACATGCACCCAGAGCCTGCTTCTGTTACATGCACCCAGAGCCTGCTTCTGTTACAGTGCACTCAGAGCCTGCTTCTGTTACATGCACCCAGAGCCTGCTTCTGTTACATGCACTCAGAGCCTGCTTCTGTTACATGTACCCAAACTGTTTCTGTTACATGCATCTAGAAATGCACCCAGAGCCTGCTTTTGTTACATGCACTCAGAGCCTGCTTTTGTTACATGCACTCAGAGCCTGTTTCTGTTACATGCAGCCAGAGCCTGCTTCTGTTACATGCACCCAGACACTGCTTCTGTTACAAGTACACAACTGCTTCTGTTACATGCACCCAGAGCCTGCTTCTGTTAAATGCACCCAGACCCTGCTTCTGTAACAACGCCCAGAGCCTGCTTCTGTTGCATGCACCCAGAGCCTGCTTCTGTTACATGCACCCAGAGCCTGCTTCTTTTACATGCACCCAGAGCCTGCTTCTGTAACATGCACCCAGAGCCTGCTTCTGTTACAAGTACCCAAACTGCTTCTGTTACATGCACCCAGAGCCTGCTTCTGTTACAAGTACCCAAACTGCTTCTGTTACAAGTACACAAACTGCTTCTGTTACATGCACCCAGAGCCTACTTCTATTACATGCACCCAGAGCCTGCTTCTGTTAAATGCACCCAGACCCTGTTTCTGTTACATGCGTCCAGAGCCTGCTTCTGTTGCATGTACCCAGAGCCTGCTTCTGTTACAAGTACACAAACTGCTTCTGTTACATGCACCCAGAGCCTACTTCTATTACATGCACCCAGAGCCTGCTTCTGTTAAATGCACCCATACCCTGTTTCTGTTACATGCGTCCAGAGCCTGCTTCTGTTGCATGCACCCAGAGCCTGCTTCTGTTAAATGCACCCAGACCCTGCTTCTGTTACATGCGCCCAGAGCCTGCTTCTTTTACATGCACCCAGAGCCTGCTTTTGTTACATGCACCCAGAGCCTGCTTCTGTTACAAGTACACAAACTGCTTCTGTTACATGCACCCAGAGCCTGCTTCTGTGGCATGCACCCAGAGCCTGCTTCTGTTACAAGTACACAAACTGCTTCTATTACATGCACCCAGAGCCTGCTTCTGTTACATGCACCCAGAACCTACTTCTGTTACATACACCCAGAGCCTGCTTCTGTTACAAGTGCATAAACTGCTTCTGTTACATGCATCCAGAGCCTGCTTTTGTTACATTCACCCAGAGCCTGCTTCTGTTACATGCACCCAGAACCTGTTTCTGTTACAAGTACACAAACTGCTTCTATTACATGCACCCAGAGCCTGCTTCTGTTACATGCACCCAGAGCCTGCTTCTGTTACAAGTACACAAACTGCTTCTGTTACATGCATCCAGAGCCTGCTTTTGGTACATTCACCCAGAGCCTGCTTCTCTTACATGCACCCAGAATCTGCTTCTGTTACAAGTACACCAACTGCTTCTGTTACATGCATCCACAGCCTGCTTTTGTTACATGCACTCAGAGCCTGCTTTTGTTACATGCACCCAGAGCCTGCTTCTGTTACATGTACCCAGAGCCTGCTTCTGTTACAAGTACACAAACTGCTTCTGTTACATGCACCCAGAGCCTGCTTCTGTTCCATGCAACCAGAGCCTGCTCATGTTATAAGTACACAAACTGCTTCTGTTACATGCATCCAGAGCCTGCTTTTGTTACATGCACCCAGAGCCTGCTTCTGTTACATGCACCCAGAGCCTGCTTCTGTTACAAGTAAACAAACTGCTTCTATTACATGCACCCAGAGCCTGCTTCTGTTAAATGCACCCAGACCGTGTTTGTGTTTCTGTTACATGCGTCCAGAGCCTGCTTCTGTTGCATGCACCCAGCGCCTGCTTCTGTTAAATGCACCCAGACCCTGCTTCCGTTACATGCGCCCAGAGCCTGCTTCTGTTACATGCACCCAGAGCCTGCTTTTGTTACATGCACCCAGAGCCTGCTTCTGTTACAAGTACACAAACTGCTTCTTTTACATGCACCCAGAGCCTGCTTCTGTTACATACACCCAGAGCCTGCTTCTGTTACATGCGCCCAGAGCCTGCTTCTGTTACATGCACTCAGAGCCTGATTGAGTCTGTGTCTCAGGGCTCTAGAGCTTGATCCTGTATTTCACATCTCTGGAGCTTGATGCTGTATGTCAGCTAACTGAAGTACAAACCTGTGTTTCACTGCACTAGAGTTGGATCCTCAGTTTTAGGTCACAAGAACTTGATCCTCTATGTCCGCTGACTGGAGTACAAATCTGTGTTTCACTGTACAAGAGTTTGATCCTCTGTTTCAGGTCACTAGAGTTTAATCCCGTATTTCAAACCACTAGAGCTTGATTGTGAATGTCATCTAACATGAGATAATTACTGTGCTTCAGGTCACTAGAGCTTGCTGTGAAGCACAAGACTCATGTTGATACTGTGCTTGGTCATCGTCTCAAGTACCTTGATAGATTTGGTAAAAAAGAGACCAATAAGAGATTCTTGCAGTACAAGGAAGGGGTGAGTATTCCTGGCACAGTGCAGAACAGGGAACATCTTGTCATATCATTATTATATGCTGTTTTCTGAATATCTCTGATTTGATAATTATGTGGAGGTTTTCAGTTTCAAAACTAAGTCTTTCTTTCTTTGAAATTGTGTCCATTTAAAACTGGATAGATAATAATTAGGTAACTCCTCTTTAGGCAAACAGACACTTTAATCTAACCGCATGCACATGATACTTGGGTAACCATAAAAAAGAGTGTTCATAGCACCTATCAACCATTTTGCAAATCATGGACCGAGTCATTGGCAAGTGCACAACACCTGTCACTAGCAGGTATGGTTTCCACAAGATGAAATGACATACTGAAAACTGGGATCCATGCTTACAATAAGCTTAAATATTTTAACCAAATCTGACCCCACATCATAGTTTTCTGTTGAATCTATGATTTAATCCTCAGCAAAGTGTGAATAGTATTCTTTGCAGTATTCGTCTATTCAGCATACTTGGTATCTTCTGTAAAACTCTAAATTAAAAAGAAAAAAATAATAATAGTACTGTATTTATATAGCGCCAAGTATCCATCAATAGGTGCTCACTGGCGCTTTGACAAAATCAGAAAAAGTCAAGGAACATATGTGCGGACAAAATTCATAGAGTCTAGTGAAAGACCAAAAGAGGTGGGTTTTGAGGAGACACTTGAAATCCTCATTGGATATAGTGGTCCTTAATTCTGAAGGTAGAGAGTTCCAGAACATGGGACTGCAAACTGAAAACGCGTGATCAGACATCACAGAGGTGGATAGAAGCTGATTGAGTTGGTGATGATTGGACGATCGGAGTGAGAGTTCTGGAGAGTAAAGGGGATATCAGGTCCTTTTGATATGATGGATAACTTTCATTGAAGATACAGTCATGAGTCATAAGTCTTGTAGACAATCCAAGAGGAGACAGGGATCAAGGCTTTGAGAACTGGTGTTATATGTTCTGATTTAGGGATCTTAGAAATACACCCAGACATTATTTTGGTCATGGGTGTTTTGTGTGGCACTTTAATGAGGAATGTGTTCATTTCTCTCCTACCATGACATCTTTGAGTTCAGTACATAAGGTCCAAACTCACTAGTATATCTTGACAACAAATCACTCCAAGTGGTCTTAGTGATAAACATGTTTTCTTTTCTTTCTTTTTTTTTTCATGTTACAATCCATGTGTGAGTCAAAAGTCAGGTGATGACAAACAATTACAGAGGTACAGGTCAGCTACATATCTGTGTAAATTTCTCAAATATTTATATGAAAACTCAATTCCTATTAAGTTTATTGCGTACAAGTACGCTTGAAGTTTTGTAAATACTCAATAATTTTGATATTACATACATACAAACAAAAGTAGATAAAATAACTGAGGTATATTGAGAGGTTCTATTTCTGCATCTGAACTTGGCAACTTGCAGTCTTTTTTAACGTTTCTCGTATTACAGATCAAATATAAATAACAAACACATAAAGCAACCGTTAAACTTTATTTTATTTTTACAATTAATGGAAAATGGCAAAATACCCAATTTGAGTTTGAGTTAGGTGAGTACAATTTATTTGGTTACTTAAAGGAAAATTAGGATACCCAATTGAGTACATAACTCAATGACCAAAAAAGTTATCTGTAGCTCTGCAGTTATACTAAGCAGTGAACTTGGTAAATAGTGCTTTAAATACTATGTTTGCAGATATTTTTCTTTCAGTTTGTGCTGGTCATGTATTGATCCAGCACACGTGCAAAATATAGTCGCTCACACAGACTGCCTGTCCTCAGTTGGATATTCTTTGAAAGTTACTTTCTTTGCTTGTTAGAATTTGGTGTCCCCAGTTTGGGTGATCTTTCAGGATCACTTATGGAGCAGATAGAAAATTTCATTTAATTGTTTATATTATTATTTTGGTAGTTTCAGTAATATAATTACATGTTTCAGATCGAAGTTGATTGGGAGAAGATCGAGGCCAAGATAGAAATGGAATATCAGAAGGAGCGTGAGCGTCCATCAGCAGGGAGTACATCTGCATCCAGCACATCTCAACGATCTCGCCCAGGGCCTACACCCTCCACTACATGATTTACTGGCCCCACATCCACTACAGAACCTGATGACCGGAACGGCCAATACTTTTCATAAGAACATCAGTGTCAGTGTGAATGTTTGTGCACTGATCTGTACATACTGGTAGGTCAATGACACTAGTTAGACATGTGTACTTTATACTGCCTGTGTCAATGTTATTTACAAATTCAGCCTGTAGAATCCAACACAATATATAGCCTGCCATAGTCTGGGTAGCGAAAACACCATAAGTCCGGCCTATTACTGTTCTTGGTCAGAGAAAGAAAACATGAAATTAATGCTAAATCCTGGCCCGAAAGGTGTCATGAAATGAATACGAGAAACCAGATTGAATCACAACCTCATTAATTGGCAAATAGAACACTAAGAATACCATGATATCATATGGAATATCATAATATGGTATTGAATGATTATTCAAATTTGGCAGCTGTCATGACTGGTTCATCCTCTCAATGTAAAGTAGATTGGACACTGTGCCCAGTGAGAGACTCTCAACAACATAAGTATATTGTTAGTATGCAGGTGGATGCGTAATGGATATCAGCAGTACCTCAAGTGCTTGCATGGATTTCTAATGACTAATACCTGTTCCACATTCAGGGTCATCTGTTAGATTCAGCTATTCATTATTTATGTGTGTGCACGTCAGGTTCCAACATAGCAGCAGTTGTATATATATTATACTGTCAAATCATACAGAGTGTTTGTTCTGTCATTGTCGTTGTACCAACAAACTCTGTCCATCCGTCCATCTGAAGACATTTTTGTTCAAACAATAACTTGAAAACTATTGGTTGGATTTTTTTCAAATTTAGGGACCACCTCGTTAGTCTAAAGGATGGGTGCAGTGCAAATTAGGATTACGATATTTTAGGGTGTTTCTTTTTAGAATTGCAGACAATTACAAATTTGAAATTAGAAAAGTTTCTTCAGCCAACAACTTGAAAACTCTTGGATAGTTTTCAAATTTGGGGACCACATTCCTTGTGTGAAGAAGAGGTGCGTTGCAAAGTTATATTGTGATATTTCTAATTTATCAAGAATTATCAAAACTTACACATCTTGAACTTGAGGGGGTTGGGGAAGTCCCACATCGAATTTGTGCAACCAGTAACTTTACAGTCATTTTATGGAAGTTGTCAGATTTGGATAATGGTATCTTTGTTTATAGGAAATGTGCTGTGCAAATTGTGATAACGCTTTTTTCAAGAATGAACATTATAAAATGTTGTTCATCTGAAGTTAGGAGTCACGGTCGGGGATATCAGTAAGCCTTCCACATATTTTCGGCTTGCTATGTATGACCCGCTAGGCCCCATACCTAGGGGTCAGATCTCTGTTAGGTGTACATTGAAAACCATCAGTGAAAGGAAAGTTACTTTTTGGTGAATGACTGTTACAAGTTGTTCTGTTAATGTTAACGTCAGTCCTTCTGGCTTGCTTGCATGTTCAGAAATCAATCTTCACCAGGCTACCTATATCGTTTGTTCCTATTTTGCATCTTGAGATGTTTTTCTTGTACATATGGATTTATCTGTGATACCATTTGTGGTACATTCCATGTTCATGAACAAAGTGTACAAACAAGCCGTCCATGTCGCCTATTCTTTTTAATAAACCAATCTGAAAACAAACTGGACATCTTTTTACTTTTTTTGCTTCTCCAACTAGGTCATTCTTGATGGCATGTTGTAACTGATAGTTGACTTGTGTAACTGATAGTTGACAGGCATGCTGACTTGTGTAACTGATGGTTGACAGGTATGTTGACTTGTGTAACTGATGGCTGACAGGCATGTTGACCTGTGTAACTGATTGTTGACCTTGTGTAACTGATGGTTGACAGGCATGTTGACTTGTGTAACTGATGGTTGACAGGCATTGACTTGTAACCTGTAACTGATGGTTGACAGGCATGCTAACTTGTGTAACTGATAGTTGACAGGCTGATGGCTGACAGGCATGTTGACTTGTGTAACTGATGTGTAACTGATGGTTGACCAGGCATGCTGACAGGCACTGACTTGTAACTGATGGTTGACAGGCATACCTGTGTAACTGATTAACTCGACCTGTGTTGTGACAGGCAACTGATGGTTGACAGGCATGTTGACTTGTGTAACTGATAGTTGACAGGCATGTTGTAACTGATGGTTGACAGGCATAACTTGTGTAACTGAGGCATGTTGACTTGTGTAACTGATAGTTGACAGGCATGTCGACCTGTGTAACTGATGGCTGACAGGCATGTTGACTGTGTAACTGATGGTTGACAGGCATGTTGACTTGTGTAACTGATAGTTGACAGGCATGTTGACTTGTGTAACTGATAGTTCACAGGCATGTCGACCTGTGTTACTGATGGTTGACAGGCATGTTGCTTGTGTAACTGATGTTGACTTGTGTAACTGATAGTTCACAAGGTGTCATGACATAAAGGTGGTAACTGATAGTTATAAGGTGGTTATATACCGTCTCCATCAGCAACAGGCCAGTATCAACTGTAGGAAAGTGTCATGTAAACATTAAATTTTTGTCATGCTTTCTGACATTCCATTAAGTAGGGCTGGGGTGGGTACACGGGTTACTCCCTTAACCACCAACCACTCAACAATAGAATATTCAGAGAATCTCATGCCGGAGTTGTCATAAGTGATAGAGTCACTTCTTTCGAAGGATGCAGTTGAAATCATTCAACCAGAAGATTTGACTCCAGGATTTTACTCACAGATTTTACCAGAGGAGGGTACTCAGCTAGAGCAACCAGGGCTCTCTCCCTAGCTTTGAGACGATCTACCAGGAATCTATACTGAACTGCAAAAGAAACGCAAGATTTGTGAGAACGTGAACTGTGTTTTAGTTTCATTGCCACATAGATGAAAAATGAAAATGATATCAGTTCCTTTGCCTGGATACACTTTGACAATAGTCTATGGCACATTCTCATGTATTGTTTGTAGTGGGTGGATCCGGCACATGGGGGACGTGACATGTTCAGTACCGGGTATGCCCTCCTTGGTTGTTCAAAACAGCCACACACTGCCGGTATATGGAGTGAAGGAGGTGGTTCACGAAAGCCATTGGTACTTTTGCCCACACTCTGAGGAAAGCTGCCTCAAGTTCAGCATGAGTTGTCGGTCTTGGAACCACCTGCCTCAGCCGTCTCTGGATTTCATCCCACAGGTGTTCAATAGGGTTCATAATCAGGGCTGAGAGCCGGGCATGGCATGGTTCTGATGTTATGCTGACGTAAGAAGTCCATAGTGACTCTGGCTGTATGGGGGCAGGCATTGTCCTGCTTGAACACGTGGTTCTGGTGACTCACGAAGAAGGGCATGATGTGAGGTCTTAGGAGCTGGTCAATATAGCGCAGCGCTGTAATGTCATTCCCTCGTCCTGCACAAACATTTTGGAACACATGGGGTCCAGTTCTCTGATTCAGACCTATAGCACCCAAACCATAATGCTTTGACCACCCCAAGTGTCTCTCCATGACACATTTATCTCTGTAGCGTTCACTGCTCCGACGCCACACTCTCACTCTGCCATCCCAGGTGGAAATGCAGTATCAGCTTTCGTCAGAGAAGACTATCAACCTCCATTGTTGATGCCGCCAATGTTGGTGCTGTGTAGCCCACTGCAATCGTGCTTGACGGTGGTGGGTGGTGATGGATGTAGTGGTCCTGCCTGGGAGTTGTCACTCAGGGGCATCCACTGCGGGCACTGTCTGCAGTATTGTTGGTAGTGTTGTAGCACTGCTGCAGACGATGGATGGTACTGACGTGCACATTGTAAGTGTTCGCAACAACCAGGGCACGCTGTACGGCTTGCAATCAGCCTATAGCCTGTTCTCTCTCCGCTCCTGACAATCGGGGCATGCCTGGTGCTTCCAAATTACGACTGCCAGAAACGCGATCTCAACTGATTTTTATACCCATAGCCTCCATGTGATACACGTACATTTTGGTTTCCTCAAGAAATGTCTTCGACATCCATCCATGGCCCTCAAAACTGCTGCTTTTTCACGTTTGGTTTCAGGAGAAATTGAAAGGTTACCTGCAATAAGGGTCGCAGACACACACCAGCATGTCTTTAGATATTTACAGTTTCAAAAGATTGTTATGATTTACCATTTTGAAATAACATTTGGAAATCTCGCGTTTAGAAGATAAGAAGATCAGCAGAGGAAATTTAAAGCACCAGCATGGGACTTAAACATAGTCCTTCAACACTTTTCTAGTGATGTGTATGAACCTCTTCAGCAAGCAGAATTTGAGTTGCTCACTCAGAAAAACTTGTTTCTCCTAGCACTAGCCACTGCAGCTAGAATTTCAGAGATTCATGCGATTGACTTCTGTCTGACACAGGCGAACACGCTGTAGTTCATCTTGGTCTCAGATGTGACTTTATTGCTAAAACCCAACTTCCAGGACAGCCTGACAGACAGCTTCATGTCCCTGCTCTTTCGTCGAGACTTGGATCAGAAGATACACAAGTTTTATCCTTGTGTCCGGTTAGAGCTCTCAAGGTTTATCTGAAGAGGACGTCGTTAAGAACAAATAAGTTCAAGAGACTGTTTATCCCTATATAGTCTAATACACCTACAGAAGTTTCAAAAACAACGATCTTGTTCTGGTTGAGAGCAGTGATTTTGAGAGCCTACAGGGCAGCGGGACTAGATCCAGCAACATTCGTCAATTACTTACAACTGAAGCCACCCATGCCTTAGTCCGGGCGCTTGTGATTTCCAGGCTCGACTACTGCAACAGCTTGCTGTTTGGGATCAGTCACAAGCTATTAGAAAAGCTACAGAAGGTGCAGCATACGACCGCTGGTATTATCAGTCGGATTCCCAAACATGGCTACATCACACCTGTTCTTAAACAGCTACACTGGCTCTCCATCAAGGCAAGAGGTGACTACAAAATCATCTGCTTGACATACATGGCCCGTCACGGTCTTGCTCCCCCATATCTATCTGACCTGCTTACTCCTTACTCAAATAAACGCTGCCTTCGATCATCTAATCAAGAGCTTCTGATTGTGCCAATCTTCAGGCTTAAAACTTTGGAAACCAGACTTTTTCATATGCACCCCCAACCTCGTGGAATTCACTCCCATACAATCTGAAAGTTTCTGAGAGTATTGCCACATTCAAGTCAGGACTCAAAACATACATGTTTTCAATGTATTTTTTAACTCTATTTGGACGTGTACATCTTGCTGTATAAATGTCGCTGACGCTTTTAATCTGTCTTAGCCGTGTCTTGAGCATATCTGGTGACGTGGAAAAGGCGCATAAGGAAATCTGCAGCATATATATCCACCAAGCGCGTCTAACCCGCACGAAGTCAGAACCACAGCGTCCACTTTAGCACTACATGGAAACTGCTCGATCTCATCACATATAGAGGGATGTTTCTGGAAATTGGATATGGTCTTCGCCAACCATTATCTCAGGGACTTCACCACAGAAGATGTTGCCTGTATATATACCAATTTGGTCCCTTGGTTAGAACGCATCCATATTCACGTAGATTCGTTGAAGTCAGGTTACTGTTCCATAACCAACGACTAAGAATCCATGCCCCCATGGCATAAGTTCTTTAAGACGTCACATATGTATGAATATTCGAGCAGTGTGTCAATATCTGGAGTAACCTCCGCCAACAGCATTAACATTTCTGACCCTCATCCTCACTGCCCGAATCATATGTTACATTTGACCTTGAGGTATTGCGTTCCATTCTTGATAGAGGGCTTGTGCCAATACATCAAGATTTTGTAATGTCCCAGATATGCTCTGTTGGTTTGAGATCTGGAGTCATGCGAGGCAAGGTAGAATTGTTAACGCCTCTTTACTTGAGAAATCACCAACGATACGTGCATGATGTGGCCTAGCACAGTCGCCAGTGGAAGCCACTGTTTTAACAGGCCACATGAACGGATAAAGTATTGCGATTCTGAGCAGGGGCTGTATCCTCACAAGGAGGAACGCTGACAGTGCTTAACATCATTAGCTTACTGGTGTTTTCTTAATAATCGACTGATAGTCGATGGATGACAAACATCTCATGTAATAACCCTCAGTGACATGCCAGTAATCCGCATACCAATGACTTGCCATCTTTGAGCAGTTGTCGTAGAGGAGGCCCCATATTTTCTTATCAACAACGAAATCAACTTTCCAAGTGATGCATGATGCCCGCCTTTGGTCTAGGCACGTGCATAAATAAACTCAATGCGTCCATTATTCATACAAACAGACATAAGTACGATTGAAATATAAATTACTATGTTGGGGTTAGAAATCATAGGTGTTGCAATGCCTTTCTCCGTGTGTACAGTTGCATATAGTGTCCCATGCAGCTGCATGTATGTCGCCAAAATATTAAGGGGGGCCCCAATAGTTTTCCTGACTATTGATCCTAAAGTGTGACAAAAGCATGCTGGGTCAGTTTATTTTACAGTATTTGGGTAATACTGTCTAGCAAAACACAACACAGCATATCCTTTACTTTATTCCCACATCACTGCTACCCAGCTCACACGTCTTACATTTGAAAAGTAATCTTGTGTTCCATTCGGATCAGGGCTGTGACCACACGTGAAACGTGAGGGCTTGCATTGTTCT